GATCTATCGAGAGTTAGAAGAAAAATAATATCCTTTCCCCAGATGTTTCAGAATATTTAATGGGTAACAGAGTAAATCCATTTTCTGACTATTGCCATGCTTTTGTATTATTTCACATGATGATGTCGATAGTTTTATTTAAGTGATACAGATTAGCATATTTAAGAATAGCATTTTCCTGGCCTCAGGTTAGTCATAGAATCATAGAATGGTTTGAGTTAGAAGCGACCTTAAAGATCATCTAGTTTCACCCCCCTGAATGGGTATATTCAGTATGATAGTCATATCCAATAACTCTTCATAATGGATATTAGATGTACGTTCATAGGAAATTATATTAATGACCTGAACAAGTGTCAAATAATCATCACAAGACATAACCAATTTCACTATTTGATTTTAATTGCTTAATATTTGCTTTTCTACTAGCTTGCTAAAAAAATATGTCAGCTTGCTATACAATCCTCTTCAAATTTTATAGGCAATAATTCCATTTTTCCAGGCCTATCATTTTAAATCCTGACATAAAAATGATCTTACTTGCAATATACCTGTAAATACCACCAAAATTAAGAAGAAAAGGGGGGCTGGGGGGGGATGGAGAGAGTAGTCTCAAAAAAACCCAAGGAAAGTCCCAGACAGGTTGAATTTTTGAGGCAGGACAGATGACAACCATTACAGTCCTGGTGCCACTGTTTGGTGGGAACAATTTGTAGCTGTCCTCTCTGAATAATGAATCACTTTACATGGGAAACACAGCACAAGAAGACAAGGTAGCTGAGATGGGAGTATATGATGCACAGGTAGATCTCTTGCCAGCTCTCTTACATATGAGTCACAGCTAGATGACACAACCAGACTGAGATCCATCCTCAATCCCAACACACAGTCCTAGACAAAGTGTTTTATATAGTCCACTGGTCTTCCAGCTATTGAGATCACCGAGTACCATTTTATTGTTGTCTCTGATTTTCAGTGTAATTCCAGCTGTTTCATTAATCCCAGATATATCTACTAAAGAAAATGACCAAAAAAAAGGTCAGACCTGAAGCATACAGACAGACCAAATTACACTTCCACAACAGGGAATAAACCAGAAAGTTATTCTTTCTAGAAAGTGGGATTTGAGGAGAAACTGCACTGAAAGGAAAGTATTTGAAACTACAACAAATTGAACCTGATTTATTTAGGAAGAAAATTACCCCTCTTCAGCTAGGATTAAATTAGTCTTTAAAATTGCACGGTGAAACCACAGCTTCTTTAAATCTGAACATCTTGCCTCAACAACAAACAAATCCGTGTAACTTCCTGTGCTGTTGTAAAAACACAGTCAATTTGGTGAATTTTAAAAAACATCACAACTGGATTTGCTGTTTAATGAAGGCACTAAAATTCTTCTGGTTGGAAGGACAAGATCGACACTTCAGAAAAAAATAGACTTTCTAGATAAATTAACTTGATTATTTCCATCAGAATAATCCTGGGATCAAGAGACAATATGGACCAGAAAGTCAGAATCTAGGTCCCAGGGCCTGAGAGCACAGGACCAAGGAAGGAAAGTAGGTATGTGTTTTCCTCCTGTTCCTCAGACTGGCAGTCAGACCATGTCAGAACATCTCTGCTTGTTATTTTGCAGAGTCCTTTAGCGAAGCACAGACCCATTAAACTGTGATTTGAGAATGTGCAGTATAGGAAAGATGCGTAATAAGATAATAAAAATAACTACTAGCACATCTGTTAGCCACTTCCAATGTGTTATTTATGCAATAAACATTTTTGAGGCCTAATTAAGTCCACACAGTTTCTGACAATGCTCCTGGTACATTTGAAGGAGCTGTAATTTGCCATCTCATCTGTCTCACTGTATCAGGTCCTAAATGACCTGGTACAGCAAGCTGGGACTTTCACATTGCTTTTTCGTTTACTGGATAAAAGGATAAAAAAGTACTCTTCATACGCATAGAGATTTTTCGAAGTCCTGCTTTATGGTTGCAGACAGGATCACTGTTCATGCGTGTTTCCTAAGGCAGATCAGGCCTTTGATAGAACAAAAACTTTTGTTAAATATGGTTTCTAAATGATGGGAACAGTATTTAGACTAGTTAGCAGATAAACAGATGCCTCTTAGTTTCTTCTTTGAATTTTTAACTTGTGAGAATTCCCACATGGGCTTTTTTATTCTTGTTAAGAAGTCTTTGGTCTGACTTTTTCCTTCCCCAGGGGAATTTTCTCAAGGTCCACATTGATGATGAAATAAGCAAAGGTCTACAGCAAAGAGTAATTTTTTTTTCCTGTGTAATGTTTTTTGTGCTTTGATTAGTGTTGTAATGAATGTAATTCTCTTTCTTGAATTTAAGAAGTATTTGGCAAAACTGGTTTTGAAAACTGGTGACAGCTCTGTTCATAATCTTAATCTTCAT